TCAACTTGGAAGCATGTTAGCAGAATAGTGGAATTGTGTGTTCTTTCAGGTCATCAACAAAAATTAGATCCTATCTTGGTTTCTAAACAAGCTTGGTAAAAGCCTGAAAAAAATGAGCAGGGCAAGTGCCCTTAACTTATAAAGAGAAATAAAATGTACTTTGTCAAGTCATGGTTTGAATTTCTTTCAGGTCTAACTAGAAATAGGCTGCTATATCTGTCTAGCAGACAAAGGCCATGTTTGAGTGAGATGTGCTATATTTTTATTGGTTTAGCTGATAGAGCTAGGAAGAAAACAGATATGCTTTTAGGCATATGATCCTTCTTTTGGTCCTTTTCTGTACAAAAGTTGATATGCCAGTGAGTTTTCCAGAAGTATCAGTTGCTCTGATAAAAGATGTTGCTTTTCTCCCAGCACTGCCTTACTGGGATCCTTAATACATCACAGACAACAAAAGCATAAATTATCTAGCAGGCAGGCGCTTTCCTTTTATAATAATAATGATAATAATAATAATTATATGTGCATGGTGAGTAAGACCCTGTTGACTGTATCTGGCAAATCATCCCTTCTGATGATACATTATGAGGGCCTTTTCACTGGGGGAAACTTAGCAAATATTTTTTTGTCTGTGTTCTCTTTTCTTGCCTTTATTGGCATAGAAATGACTCATTTACTTTTTAACTCTAGTCCTCTTCTAAGAATGGGGGAAACAATGGCTGAGAGAACTGCCTTTGTGCATGTGTGGAGTTGTTTGGATCTTTTTCAAACACTTTATCTTTCTAGAATGTCCCTCCTGAAATGTGCTGCCTAACTAGTAATCTGCTACATATTTAATTTTTTATTAATCTATCCAAACAGAGCTGGGATTCAGTCTTTGGTAATTTTCCTCCTGCCATCCACTCTGCTCCAACTTTATTGAGCTGGACTCTCCAAATCCCACCTCACAGTAGGAGAAGAGGGAACAAAGTGAAATTCAGTTGGGTAAACAATTCCAGTATTCTGTTGGAAATTTATCATCTTATGTATTTCCTTGATGGAAAAGCTACTGAGTGTCCTAAAGAAAGAAAGGAAAGCACTTTTGAAGACTAATTGCTAGCTTCTTCATTTACAAGAAAATGGTTTCCAAAAGCAGCAATTGCACTGGTAAGCTGGGAAGTCTTCTGTTTGTTTTTTTTCCCAGGAAAAGAGGTGCAGTGGCTTATGCATCCCAGAAGCCTTGGCTGCTCAATGCCACAGTGGAAGAGAATATCACGTTTGAAAGCTCTTTTAACAAACAGAGGTAACAGGTTCCAGCACTGTTGTGTTTTACTCCCATGTTTTTTTTCCATAAATACTGGGGTCGTGTGGGTGACACATGGGGCCCCATCTGTAGGAACAAACCCATTGCACCTGCCTGAATGTGACAGTCTCCCCCTTTGGCCACGTTTTTCCTGAGTGACACAAGGGACAGGCTTTGTCTCACTTGAACTCAGGTGTACAAATATTTCCATTTCCAAGGACCATGTTTGTTTAATATGCAGTGTTCTCTCACCTGACTGACTAGTTTGCCTCTCCTGGAAGGACATCACCTGTTTGGTAGTGGAAATATTGTTTGTAAAGAATTAGCAGGCTGCCTTTTTATTCAGTATAAATGCCCACCAGACATTGTAAAATATATAGAAATCAGTTGCTGATATTCCATTCCCCCACCCTTAAAAGAAGTTGTTGATTATGTATTTGCATCCTACACTCATTCTTTTTTCTGTCATCCTTGGATATTGAAACAAGAAACAAAGGCTCTATCACCCTTGGATATTGAAACAAAAACACCTGCTAAAAATAGCAATATACCTTGGAAGAAGTTATGTTTGTTTTTCCTAGGTTTAACTACTTAACATTTTTATTTGGGAAGCTAACATAAGAGCCTTTTTCTTAGCTGAAATATTACTTACTTACCTGTGATTAAAAGAGATCCCATTAGAACAATTAGTGGCTTACAAATATGTTTTCCACTATGTGATTTTTTCCAGCTGGTTAATTTTTGTTCCCCTGCAGGTAGGAAATGTGCTTCTCCAGCAGTATCTGTGTGGATTTTGTTGCCTTTTTTGTTTCCACAGGTACAAAGCAGTAATTGATGCTTGTTCCCTCCAGCCTGATATTGACATTCTGCCTCATGGAGACCAAACCCAGATTGGAGAGAGGGTCAGTAAACAGCTGCAGGCTTCTATTTTTGGTTTAAATATATAGAGGGGGGTTTATTCTTTTGTTGGTTCTTAAAATCTTACAGGTTATTTGGCAACAAAGGTAATCTTTTAGTTAAGTGTATGTTTGGGTCATTAGTCTGAAAGCTTATTGCTCAGTGAACATGGAAACACTGTCATTTATGTGAGGTGCAATGACTTAAATGTGCTGCTATCAGAATGTTTGGCTATTCTGCAGCTGCTATTGCACATATCCTGATTTAACAGAATTTTTTTGGTTTCTTTAGAAGTAACAGAAAAATAATAATACATAGGGTTTTTTTTTAGAGTCCTTTCATTTATTGAAGGGCAGGTGTTTAATCAATGGCTTTATCACATCAGGGAAGATTAGGGAGTGATGAGAAAGGAACCAGAAGCCAGAAATTTGTAAACAATTTATTCTCGCATATACTGGCACTGGCACAAACAGAAGAACCCCAAAAATGCCCCCTGAAACACCACAAGGATACATTACAGGCCCACACATCAGAAAAATTTCTCATATTTATCTGCCCAGAAAAGTCTTCTACGGATAATCCAATGAAAATAAGGAATATGAATATTCAGTTGATGTTTTCTTTAACTGTATGATTGTTTCCCTCCTGCTTATCTCCAGGGTATTAATCTGTCTGGAGGGCAGCGCCAGCGGATCAGTGTGGCACGAGCACTTTACCAGCAGACAAATGTTGTGTTTCTGGTGAGTAGAAACCTTCTGTTTATGCTCCATTCAGAAGGAGGAGTTGCTTTTTATTTAGAGTATTTCATGGGTCCCATGCTGAACATTGTGTTTCTCTGAGCCGAGCCAAATGTGCACTGTGTGTTTTAAATCTCTTATCAGCTTGCCTGCAGGTAGGAAGCATTTTGTAAATGCTGCAGACAGGTAGGTGTTGCACATTGAAATGCTGATGCTTGTCCTCTCAGTATGTTGAAAATTCAATTTGACCCTTGCTTCTATCTTTAGGTCTTGGAAATGTAATAGTTTCAATTGTATTCATGAAATTCCTGAGCTGTCTCAGGCCTAAAATTAACGTTGCATTATGTCTGGGGTGTTTCCTTTCTGCAGCAAAATAAGCTGCTTTTGCACCCTGAACTGCCTGTTGTATATCCTGTCCCAACTTCAGCTATTGAAAGAGAGTGACAACAGGTTCTAATACTTTCACAGGTGGGAAAACAGATGCATCCTACACACTCACTTGTAGTGAGCTGGCTGGCTTTTCAATTTAGGACTTCCTTCTTGAGCTCGGTTTTCTGTAAGGTTTGAATCCAGCTGTTATGACAGTGAGACAGAAATCACATAGGATTAGAAAAGCTGTGTACATTAGGCATCCCTAAAAGAAAGGGAGGGTATTTAGACCTTTCCCTGTAATTAGGCTGATCAGTTTGTGCTTGCTTCATGTGTAGGGCTTTTCCAGGCAAAGATCAGAGTGCAGGAGAGCAGGGAGCAGTTGGGTCAGGTACTGCAAATCAGCAGATCCACTAGTGGCCTGTAACTTGGTTTTGCCCTTTTTGTCCTTCTGTGAAGGACACTCGATAACCTCCCAATAGCAGCAGGCTCTCTTATGGTTTGACAGTGGAAAAACACCTACAAATACACTTTACTTCCAGTCTTAATATTTAGAAAATAACCAGGAATCCTAAATGTTAATATTGGCAAAACCTCAGTTTTTTTAAGGCTGGTTATGTAAAAAAATACCTGTGAAACTTCACTCTGACAAGTACAAATGTCATATGGCTGATGTTTAGGTCTGTGCCAGGTCAGAAGAGTTGACAACATCCTTGCTCAGCAAGCACAGTGCACACACAGTTTTGAGAGAAAATTCTGGATCATTAAGTTACTGTGTTTCAAAAACACTTCCTAGGTGCTTTATGTTGTGATGCTCTGGTTTATCAGAATCTAAGTGGTCATATTTATGTTACTGCTAATTTCAGGTATTTTTGATTTCTAATGAAGCCTGGATTTAGTGTAATATTATAGTATTAATTAGTAACACTAAGTAAATCCTCTAGCCAGTATTATTATTGCAAGCAGAAGTATCAAATCAAATCACAAGATTTGTGATTCCATATAAATAGGATTAAGTAAATAGGTTTCCCAAAAGATGGTACAGATTAATTTATGCCTAAATGAATTGCATATAATTGATTGATACAGTAAGATAATGTAGGTCTCACATCAAACATGTGAGCTGAGTCAGCAAAATTATCAGTATTGCGTCTTTTGTGATTTTTTTTTTTTTTTTTGTGATTCATTGTTAATAGAGTATTGTTTTATGGAAAAAACCAACCAAACAAAAAACCAAAACAAACAAAAAAAAACTGAAGGCAGTGATGTTCAAGGGAAATATGCTCATTGTCCCTATGTCTGGAGCAGTAATGCAATATCTGCCACAGACCCACACTGGGACATTTTCTGAAGCCTGACAGAAACCATGCTTGCCAGCTGTGTGGGCCATGAACACATCTGGAGAGAGGAGGAGGTCCCAGAAAACTCCACAGAATTGTAGAATTGACACAGATGGCTTTACTCAGTCCTCTCTGCAAAACACAGTTCAGGGTTTGGTGTTCTGTAAATTAAGGAAACCGTACCTCACAATTTTGATCTGGTGGCTCTTTTGTGTGTTTGTGTTGATCTACCTGGCTTTACTGGTATTCAAACCTGTCAGTTCCCTTGGATCCCACAAGTTCTGGCTCTAAAAGCTGACCCCTTATCCTCATGGCAGGATGATCCTTTTTCTGCCCTGGATATCCACCTGAGTGACCATCTCATGCAAGAAGGGATCCTGAAGATGCTGCGGGAGGACAAGAGGACCATTGTGCTGGTGACTCACAAGCTGCAGTACTTGCCCCACGCTGACTGGGTAAGGAACCTCTTCTCAGTTTTTCTGTGGAGGAGAAAACATGGCAGGAACATGTCTTGCTGCAAACAGTGCTTTCACTTCATCTCTCCACCAATAGTTCAGTGAGAAAATCTGTAACAAAGATCTTTTGAAAATCAGCCATATAGAGGAGCCATGATTTTGAGATTCCCATTTTGGAACACCTAAATACATTAGATTTTCATAAAGGTGCTACTTAATACTCTTATGAAAGCAGGCTACATTTAAAATATATTGAGTATCCCAAGACATTAGTTATATTGGAAAATTTTGGCTAATTTTTTGATCTCAAAACAGTGAAATGTTTGAGTAACATCTTTGCCTCTGCTGGGATGTTACTAGGAATTTTGTGCTATCTCAGGAAAAGGTGGATTTATGCAAGGTGGATATTGAGAGGTATGGAAATATAAGGAAAAAAAACTCAGTGCTTCCCTGTGGTTAGTACTGGTATGTAATGGATTAAGAACCTCTTTTCCCTTTGAGTGGACTTAAGATTTTAAGAAATGTATAGTATTTGATTGTTCTGTTAGGTTTCTTTTTTTATATCTTTACTTTAAAGGGAAAAAAAATTGCAGGTGTGCTTTCTATACCAGTTTGTAATTGGAAATGTCAAAGATGAAGAGGGAATTTTCGGGGGTTTGGATTCTTTTTTTTTTTTTAATTCATTGGTTCCCATTGGCCTTGCACTTATTTCTGCAGTTTTCCAGCCTCCCAGGTCTCCTGGCCCATGTTGATTGATGACTGCAGTTATACCTCCTAGCAGGACTTTTCTCTTTCACATCTTGCACAGGCTGTAGCAGCAGTTTCCTGGTCTCAAGAAATAATCATATTGCAGCTGCTTCCTGAGCTTCATGTTGGCTTGGTATAAAGTTGCAGATAGACATTCATCTTATTCTGATTGGGTTTTTGGTGGGCAGCAATTGTTATTTATGGTCTCTGCTGTGACCTTGTCCCTCAGTTGTTTGTTTACCTTTAGAGCTACCACTGTTCTCAACACAGTCCTGGTTTTCAAATTAGTGTCTCTTGGGATACATGAATTTTCTACCTTCTTCCCCTCCCTATGAGTCCATCTTAACTTCTTTTTTATTGTTATATATCTGCAATTTTTTTAAAGGCTATGTGTGCTTTGTGGTTCATCAGTGTAATTGTTTTAATTTAATTTGTGAATGTAAGACCCATTTCTACATGTTGGTGCTTTAGGAGATGTATGAAAATTGCTTTATTTTTGTTCTAGAAGTGTGATTTTTTTTTTTATTAATTAGACTGTTTCAAACAGTAGCACAGGAAGGATTTGTATGAACTTTATAATAAAAATTATTTGTTAAAAAATAGTTCATGTTTTTTCCCTAGGTGTAGATTTCATTAATCCTTAGCAATTCTTACCCAATGGAGTGAATAGGGATTATTCACTTTATTAAGGAATTCTAAATAAAAATATAGTTTTAAGTGTATGGTCCCTCTAAATCTTTTGAACAAAACCTTCAGAAGAACTCAAGGTCCAGCCTAGTTGCAGGTTTTCTGAATAAATTGATCACCAAAAGATCCTTATTTTCTTTATTTTTTTTTACCTTCTCTCTGGTTTAAATTCATAGCAATAATTGAAAGTAAATTCTTAGCAATACATGAAATAGTTTATTTCCCCACTCCCTGCCCATGAAAATTTCCGAGTTTCCAGGGAGAGAGAAAAATAAATAGTGCATTAACTCTTTGGTAATGATGGGGGTTTGCAATCTGCATGCCTCATTTTCCAGAGTGGTGGTAGTTACAGTGTGTGTAACGTGGTTACACTGACACAAGCTGCAGACTGCTCCCTGCAGACTTTGTCTTGCTTCGATATTCTTCTTTTCCAAACTGTGTCCACTATTTTATGCTTTTAAAGCTTTAGGAATTCAAATTGCCCATCTCTTCCTTATCAGTCCATGGTATCAGAGAAGGAGCCAGCATGCTCATATCTAATTGCCTGAATGAGGGCACAGTGTCTTGCTAAAAGCTTTTTCCTTTTAGGAGGTAAGAGAACTCTAAAATCTTATCTTGCTAATGACATGTATTTAGGAAGAGATCTGCTGACAGGGATCCCAGTCTTCTTTCTTAAAAGCAGCCTTTTCTGAAAACATGGAGTGCAGGAAGTTTCTGGGTTTTCAGTATCTTAAATGAAAGGGATGGAGCCAAGAGATAATGTCACTGTCTTTTTAGAAGACAGATTTGTTCGTGAAAATATTATTTATTTAAGAAAAGAGAAAATCCTGCCAAAGCACAGACACATAGCTTTAAAATAAATAGACATGCCTGGCTATTTATCTCACCACTTGTGTTTCTGACTCTTTAGATAATTGCAATGAAAGATGGTAACATCCAGAGAGAAGGAACACTCAAGGACATTCAGAAATCAGAGACTGAGCTCTTTGAACACTGGAAGACATTAATGAATCGACAAGACCAAGAGCTGGAGAAGGTTTTTGATGGGCAGGGCAATCAATATATGCAACAAAATGTTGTCTATTTTTTTTTTTTTTGCCTTAATTTGAAAAGTTTAACAAGAGTTGACATGCTGTGTGTGATGTCTAACTTAAAATGAATGTAGTATTAGTGCTACCATTATTATTTATCTCTTAAGATAAATTCCTTCATCTGGACATGTCATATTTCTTTGATACTGTTCTAATCCATTGATAGGAAGCCCTATCCATTCCTTGATAGGAAGCCCTAACAAAATATAGTCACCTAAGGAATATAAATATAGTCATTTTAGGAAAACCTTTGCTAATATTGACAGCTGGGTTTATAGGTATGCCTGAATTTACTCACTGCCTTGGGAGGAAGCTTTTAAGATATACCTAAATCAAGTTCCTTAAATGTTGAAGATGTTTTGTCTTTCCACTTATAGCACAAGAATGAGATATTAATCTTAGTTCTTATTAATTCGAGATAACTGTCCAAGTTAAAATCCCAGGAGGGTTGGGATTGACAAGCTGAAGTGAATGTTACATGTCTAATTTATGTCCTTTGGTTTTACACCAAAGACCTAGAAAAAAGAAAAAAGACCTAGAAAATCAATCACTTACGGCTGCGTGCTGTGAGATTCTCACTTCTATTTTTCATTGAATGGAAACAGTTTTATCACAAGTAGCAATTTTTTGGTATTAATTCTCTGGTTAAAAGCACATGAATTGTCCCTTTTTCAGGAAACAACTATTGAGGAAAACCCTGTTTTGGAAAGAACGAATCTCCGGAGGACGATGTATTCCCGGGAAGCATTACTGAAAGATGATGAAGAGGATGAAGGTAAAGGGCATCCTTTGAGCCCACTGCCAGTATTTTACTCTTTCACAGTTAAATTATATTAGAATGAATTAACACCCTTCAAACTGGCAAGAGATTAAAACTTTTTTCATGCGGGTTGTGATTTATAGGAGTGCTCGTTTCCATTGCTATGACCTCTGGACTGGAGTGGTTGCAAGCATTCACAAGTCATCTCTTCCTCCAGACTTTTGAGGTTTTTTCCTTATATGCAAATATGATTTAATAATGAGTGAAGTATTAAACAATATGCTGGGTGAACTTCACCTGTCAATAGCTAAACATATTTGCAATTGATTTTTATCCAGCTAGTCAGTGCTTTCCCATTGCAAAAACACGGTTGAAGAAATTGATCTCCAGGTGCTGAGGGTTTTTGCATCTTTTTGGTATGAATTACTATTAAATTGAGCAGGTTAATACATGCAGGCATGAGCAGGTGCTTTGACCTTAAAGCCACCCTTTATCCTGGTTTGTTGCTACCATTTGCCAGTCCCTTTATGTATGTCAGCATGGCTGTCCTTTTTTCTTGCACCTTGCAGAAGAAGTAACAGAGAGTGATGATGAAGACAACCTGTCTTCAGTGCTGCATCAGAGAGCCAAGATGCCCTGGAGAGCCTGTGGCAAGTACCTGAGTGCAGCAGGGATCCTCCTGCTGCCCCTGCTGCTCCTGTCCCAGCTGCTGAAGCACACAGTGATGGTGGCCATCGACTACTGCCTGGCCCTTTGGACTGAGCATGCCATTTCTATCAAGATCGAGCCCGAGACAAAAAACTGCTCCCAGTGCATGGTAGGAACTGCCTTGTTCACCTTCCTCTTGTGGTTTAACTGGGGGTGTTCTGCTGTCAACCTCTGCTCCAAGATTTGTATGCAGTGTGCTCTTTTTCTATTAAAGAGCCACTCCATACACAGCATACACAGCACAGCAAAATGAAGTTGTCTGGTGTGTTGTTCTCCTTTTGCTAGAGCTATTGTATTTTAGTCACCAAGCTGATATACCTAAACCTGGGTTTCTAAAGTAATTTTGATATCAGAGTTCTCTTTTGTTTTCCCTGCACTGTTGCATTCTCACAGCAACCTGGGCTTTTTATGGTGTTCCTTCATTTTAAATTTCTGATTTATCACTTATTTCCTGAAGATATTTTCCTCTCCAAAGGATAATAAATTATGATTTAAGATGGGTGAAAATCATGGAAAGTTTAATTTAGGGAGCAAAAATATATACTCTCACATTTTTTCACTTTTGTACTTGTGTGCTTGCCATAATATTTTAATTGCAATTTAAAATGAATATTTGTGTTCCTCTTTGTTTCTTAGGAATTTGACCATTCTCCATATTCAAAGGTTTTCAGCATTCTTTGCTGCCTTGGAATTGTATTATGCCTTGTCACATCAATAGCAGTGGAGTGGACTGGCTTGAAAGTCACCAAAAAGCTACACTCTTCTTTACTAAATAAAATTATTTTGGCTCCAATGAGGTACTTCTTTGATTGTAATAGAAGTTTTATTATAGTAATTTTGTCTTCTTTACTTCAAGACAGTCTCCTAAGTGCAGTTTTTACTAAGAAATTATTGTACATCGCATATTTTTTAAGATATCCATGATAAATCACCAAGTGTCAAGTTTCTGAGTAGTTTTTGAAAATGGTACCCAGGCTGCTTGTGTTCCTAGACACAAGTCAAATGCCTCTCCTGCCCAACTGTGACTTCAG